TATATATATGGATAAATAATAACAGTAGTTATAATTACGCTGATATATCAAATGATGAGGGTGATTATGATATTATTAAATAGTAATAATAAATATAAGTACATTTAATAATATATATAAAATACAATTATATTAAAAGACAATGGTCATAAAGATAACAAAAATAACAATTGCTTATTGCATAATGAAATAATGATGATAATATTAATGATTACGATGATGATGAGAGTAATGGTGGTGGTGGTTGGACTGGTGATATAGTGATGGTGTTGATGATGGTCCAGGTGGAGATACGGATGGCAAAGCCAAAAAAAAAATTGTGTTGGCCACACCCGACCGACCGAAATTTTACGAAATGCAGGGTCGGCATTTTAGCTTTTTTTTCCCTTGACTACAACGAACAATATATATATATATATTTTTTTATGAGCAAATAAGACTGAAATAGCCTTGGTCAGGCTAGGGGGCCAAGGCAAAGCTTATTTTACTTGATGATACACGATGCGAATCCAAAATTGTTGTATTATTTGTGTATTTTGACTTTTTAGGCGTAAACACATTTTTGGTTTGTAAAAAATTAAAAAAAAGAAGAGTTTTCCTACCGACCCACCCAGTTTTTGGATTTTCACAAAATGTGGCCAACACAATTTTTTTTTGGCCAAATGATGATGGTAGTGTTGACAATTAAACTACAATTATGTTTGGTAGTGTTACGCTACCGTATATATTTAGATATATACTACCTATATCATAACCAATACATAGTTACATGCAAAATAAAGAAAATAAAAACCTGAGAAAAGGATAATCGTAAACAATGTGAAGGAGAGCAGTGGCGTCAAGGTCTTGTACTTCACGGGGTACGGGTGGGACGACTCCTACAAGATCCATTCTACAAAAAAATAATATCCATGTAACTTATTTAATTATATTAAGGTCGTTGGTTCATTATCAAAACTGCGATGGACAATCAGACATATCATCGCATCATGCAACGTTTAGCATTATTTATTAAAAGATCAGGTTATAAATACGTATTTATTTGTTCTACAAAAATGTTAAAAAAATTAATAACGTAATATTATTAGCTGAGAAGTATCATTTAAAGTGGTTAGACCTACTTCATTTTCCACCATTCGTCTGTATACTTTTCGGGAAGAATTTCTCCAGCAAAAACGCCCCAACGCCACTGATCTATCATGTAGCTAAACGGGAGGGTTCCTATGACATCCAACGACTGCTTCAGTAGAAAATTAATGTCCGTTTCTGGTAGTAGAAAAATATTACTTTTTTATAGCACATCATTTACTAAAATATATAATCTGAATGCAAAGTGTAAATACGAAAACATGAGATTAGGGGTGTGGTTAGAGTCGCACATCCCTGAAGCACAAACAGTGGCGTATTTAGAAGTCTTGAAATGTGGGGGGGGGGGG